GAAAGTATAATAGTAACAATTAAATACCCTTAAATATGGACAACACTTTACAGTTTGTAAGAGAGGGGAGTGTCTCTTATCAGTCTATCCCTTTGCTCCTTGCAGCAGCTGTGTGGGGTGGGGCCAAGGAGATGGGTCTCGGGGAAGTCGGAGCTCAGAGAGGGCTGGTCACTGCCCAAGCCACCCAGCCAGCAGGGGCAGAGCAGGGCCTGGGCCGAAGTCTGCACCCCTTGCCTGTGAATCTCAGAGCCGCTGGAGGTGGAACTGCTAATGAGCAGGGGGGTCCCTCTGTGCACTTACCGGGAAGGGTCTGCAGAGTATTTGTTGGGCCTGGGGTTGGGGGTATGCCGGATCACCTCTCGGAGCCTCAGTTTCTCTACCTGTCATGTGAGGGTCTGTCTGCCACTCGGGGGGTTCTTTTGAGGCTTTGATGAGAAAATGGGACACTGATCCCTCACCTGTGCCTGGCCTTTGGGGGAGTCCCAGACTCTGCAAACGTCGCCCCTGTGATGCTTAGAGTATCTGTACTGGGCATTTGTAGGCACCAGCCCTTTCTCGTTTCTGGGGAGCTGTGGGTGCTGGGCCATTTTGTAGCTTTGGGTCCTTGGGCACAGCCCTCTGCCTCAGTTTCCTCATTCTTCAAGTGTGTGTAACAACATGGCTGCTGTGTATTAAGCGTATTAAGTGTGCGGGTCTGGCCCACTGTTGGTGCTGGGTGAAGTGAGACCTTCCCCGCTCCCACCCCGCCTTCCCTCTTGCCTATGTCACAGCTCTGTGCATGGGCATCCTTTTTTATGCTCCCGTGGTGCCTCATTCATCGTTTCAGCCGGTGAACATTTATGGAGTGCCTCCTGGGGGCCGTGTTGGGCCCTGGGTTTACAGGGAGAATGAGACTTCCCTCACTGTCCCTGTCCAGGCAGAGGGCAGGCGTGAAACCAGGGTTCCGTGATGCAAGCTGGGATGGACCACGGGAGCCTGAGGACAGCCAGACCCGGATGTGGGCAGGGCCAGGGGAGAGATGCTTGTTTATCTTGCTGTCTTCTCCACTAGAGCTCCCACCCAGGCCAGGCTCTGTCTTTTGGCTGGGAGTCCTCAGCTCCCAGCAGGAGATGCTCAAAGAATGGCTGTTGGAATGAATGAGGGAGTGAATGACTGAATAGCTGGCGGCTAGGCCCCTTTCCCTGACTCTCCCAGGCTCCAGGCCAGCGAGTAGAGGCACATCCAAGCTCCTCCCTTGGCTGTCCCAGGTGGACCCAGGGTGAGCCTGTTTGTATCTTTCTCTTTTCCTCCCTAGGTCTTTGGCCAGGGCCCCCAGGGCCTCTCCCATGTCAGCCTGGCAGGGTCAGGGAACACTAGGCTGTTGGGTAAAGAACTTGAGCTGTTGTGGTCATGGTGTAGCTTGCTGTTGATAGACAAGGAAGCCGAGGCCCAAGGGGAGGGGGCTGTGGGACAGGGCTGGGGTTACAGCCCCTGCTGGGCTGCTCCTCGGGTGTGTCCGGCCTGGCTGTGTATTTATAGTCTCTGCTGATCTATATTAACACTGGGCCTGGCCCAGGCCTTTGCAGCCTGTAGATCTCAGGATGGCTTTGAACCCGCTGGGGGCTGTGGAATCAGAGCTCACCCCCATGGGGAAGGGAGAATGTGGCTTCTCTCTTTTCTCTTTACAGCCCTGGGGCCCACGCTGGGCCCTTTGCCTAGAGAACTGTTGCTCTCCTGGGCCTGGGCTGGGCCACCCTTTGGTGAGCTCGAAGTCTTTGTCTGGGGTTTATTATCATGCCTCGCTTCCCTCCAGCTCTGCAGGGAGACTCTGTATACAGCATGGCATCAAGCGCATGGGCTGCGTGGCCTCAGGCAAGCCGCCCCCCTCTCTGAGCCTCAGTTTCCTTATCTGTAGAACTGGGCATGATTCCCATCCAACTTTGTGTGTCAGGCTCTGAGTACTCAATGCTTGTGAGCTTGAGTCACTGTTTATATCCCTCATGTCTCTTCTGGTCCTCATCACAGACAGTCCTCAGAGCCCCTAAGGACTCCAGTGTCATCTCCACTGGACCCAGGAGGCCACTGAGGCCCTAGGGGTGGTGTGACTTGCCAGGGTCATGCTGCCTGTTGGGACAGAATTTGGACTCACCTCAGTCCGAATGTTGCAGCTTCCCAGACCCCATCTCCTTCCCAGGGCCCGAGGGGTCCTTGGGAGGCTGGACTCCTCACCTACCAGCTTGGTTCCCACCCCCGTCGCCATGGGAACAGCTCCACTAACTCTATGCTTCTCTTACAGAGCAGAGACGACTGGCTGCCCTGAGCGCAATTCAATTCAACAGACATTTACTGAGTGCCTACTATGCGCCAGGCCTTAGGCTAGGCACTGGGGTGGGGGGGAGCAGAGAGGAAGATGGAGGTTCTGTCCTCAGGTAGTTCTGGACTGAGGGGTGTGGAGAAGACAGGCAAGGGCTGAACAACAGCTCAGAGCCAGGAGAGAAGCCACCTGCAGGGCTGGAAGCAGCAGAGATACCTGGGTTCAAGGGCATCCCTGGAGAGCTGCTGTCCCTCATCTGTGCCTCAGTTTACCCATCTGTAAAATGGGTGTGTGTGGGGGAAGTGGGGTGAGACAATCTCTAGGATCCTTCTAGGATTCCATGGGGATGGAATCGGGATGGGGCAGAGCAGGGAGGCTGTCACTCTCCCTGCAGAGAGCAAATCTCTGAAGGCTTCTTGGAGGAGGAGACATGAGGTCCGGGAGGAGTGGGGGAAGGATGGGAATGGCACCCCAGGTACAGGAACAGCATGAGCAAAGGCCCAGAGGACATGCAGATGGGCAACCCTGCAACTCCATAGGTTGTAAAGGGATGTTGTGGGTATGAGCTTAGAGAGGGAGGGTGGGGCCCATCTGGAGGGCCCAACGGCTACACTTTGGGGCTTGAGTTCTATTCCGCAGACTGCTGAGGATGGAGAGTCAGGAACAGGTGGTCCTGCTTTGTTCTGCCCCCTTCTACTCCCCTCTCTCCCTGGGGCACACTTCAGGGTCACATTCCGGCAGAACCTTGTGGCTGTGGTAGTGCCTGCACCACACTGGGCACTTTACACATTGGTCTCCATTGCAATCCTAATAAATGAGCATAACTGGGCCCACTTCACAGATGAGGACGCCAAGGCTGAGACAGGGAAGCTTTTTGCCCAAGGTCATGATCTGACCCCCAAGTTCCTCCTGCTTCTCCCACTAGGGCTCTCTCACTAGAGGGGTTCTCAGTCCCATGTGACATCTCCCATCCTAGGAAGCCCCCAAGCTCTGAGGAGTGCCTGCCAAGGGCACTGCAGTTGGGTTTGGAGGGCGAGGGGGCAAAATCCTCAGATGTTGTTGGCAGGATGGGCTTCTTCCAAGACCCGAGTTTCTGTCCCTACAGTGACCCCCTGAGATGGGGTTCCTTCCCACTTTACAGATGAGCAGACTGAGGCCCTGGGAGTCATGTGGCTAGTCCAAGGTTGAGGCGGTATCAGCCTGGGTAGGGAGTCCCATCTCCTTATCAGTGCTTATCTCAGATTCAAGTCCCCGGAGACCTGTGCAGAAGCTGACCCCCATAGCCCTCCCCAGGGAGCGGAAAAGACTGGCATTGGAACCACAGACCTGGGTTCAAATCCTGATCTTGTCTTGTACAAACGGTGTGATCTTGAGCAAGTCATTAATTACTCTGAGCTTGGTTTCCTTATCTATAAATGGAGAGAGCAGGCTTCTTTCATTCAGTCATTAGTGGATAGGTAATGAGCACCTACTGGGTGCCTTGTGCTGGCCTCTCATGGAGAATCCAGCCCCTTTCTCGGAGAACTCAGTTCAGGAATGAAAGCAGCAGCTATGATGATGATGAGGGAAGCCCAGGGGGGCTGTGGGAACTCACAGGAGGGACCCCGACCAGACCATTTTAATTGGTGGAGGGAGGCAGGAGAGGAGAGCAGGGACCAGCCATGCAGGACCCCTTGGGCTGCTGGGCTTGGGAAGTCTGTTGTTGGAATTTTCCCAGATCGCTAGGGAGCCGATGGAGGCTTTTGAGCAAGAGAGTGCCACGCTCAGACTTTAGGTTTTAGAACTTGCTCATCCTCTGCTGGGTGGAGGATGGTTTGAAGGGCTGGTGAGATTGGAGGCAGAGAGACCAGTGAGGAAGCTGATTGAGAAACTCATTGGGGGCGAGGAAGGAGGCTGGAGCAGAGAAGGAGTCGTAGGAGGGTGCTCACAAAGACCTTCCAGGTGTGGGGCGCTGGCCAGCTGTGGATACTTCTGCAGGTCAGGGAACAGGGGCAGAAGCAGAGGTGGGGAGTGGGCGGGCAGTGGGAGGTGAGGTTCAGGTGCCAGGGAGGAGGCGGCTGGGATACGGTGGTTGGGCGGTTGGGCGTGGTCAGCACCTTGAAGTTGATAAAAGGAGCCTTGGGAGGGGCTGAGGTGCTGGGTGGGGGAGCTGGAAGAGGAGAGCAGAGGGCGGGGCCACGACCTCAGGGAAAGCAAAGGAGCTGGAGGGAAAGCACCCTGGGAGGTAGGAGGAAAGGGATGTGTATGTAGCTGTCCCGCTCAAGAGCAGGAGTGGTCCCAGGAGGAAGGTGTCAGGACTTAGGTCCGTAGCAGATGACAGAAGTCACACGTGCCAGGTGCACAGCAGGGGTCCAGGAGGGTCAGTTCCCACCTGTCTCTTCACCAGAAGGCAGACTGGTAGGGAAAGCAGAATGGTAGTCTGTCCGTCCCCTTGCCATCCAGAGGAGGAAGGTGTCTGGGAAAGGGAAAGGGGGAAAAACATTTGCATGCGTAACAAGGCAGGAGTGAGGGAGAGAGAAAGAGGGAGCAGGAGATGAAAAGAAATTACCATACGCCAGGATCTTGTTATTCAACCCAATTTTCAAAGGACCACAGCTGTCGCACTGAGATAATCCGTTAATTATAACAGCCATTGTGCTTCGGCAGGCAATGGGAGAGAAACCGAGGCTGGGGACTAGGGTGAAGGTGTTGGGGGGGCGGGCGGGAGCAGACCTTTGGAGGCTGGACCTATGAGAGGGAGCAGGGACAGGCTAAGAGCAGTGTGTTGCCCTCGAGACTGAAAGGAAGACACTGTCAGGGGTCAGGCCCTATCCCTTTTTCTCTGCTCTTGCTACATCTGACTGATGAGGACTTAAGCCACGATAACCCTGCCAGTAGCAGCTAACTTTATTGAGCACTTACTGTGTGCCCCACCCTGCTCTGTAGCTATTCACTCTACCACCCTCTGAGGCAGCGCCCTTCTAGTCCCATTTTACAGAAAAGGAGGCTGAGACTCAGAGGAAAGAAGTGGCTTGCCAGGGCCACACTGTTGGTTCAGTGGCAGAGCCGGGATTTGAGCTGAATCCCGGAGGCTTTCCAGGACAACATTAGGGAGGGCTGGTCTCTGTGGATTGGCCGCACTGACGTGGTGGCCACGCATCCTGAACCATGGTTTCTGTGCAGCTAGCAGTCATGGGGTGGTCCTCCCCCGGGGCATTTCCGGGGGCTCCTCTTCAGGGACAGAGCTTCCTTGTTCTCTGATGCCACAGCTGCAGGCCTCCGCGGGCTCCCCCACCCTCTCCGGAGAAACTAGTTTTAGCACCAGGAGAGGGACCCCCTGTGACCGCCTGGTTTGGGGTTGTGATGGGCTGTGGCCCTGGGAGGGGTTCTCAGCCTGGCCCTGGTGGTCTACGGGCCCTGGGTGCTGGGGTCTGGAGAAGCAGTGGGGAGGACAGGCAGGAGTCCCAGGTGAGCATAGAGAAGGGGACCTGAAGTCTGTGGGGAGAAGGATGGGAATGAGGGGCCATTCTAGAACTCCCAGAGCCCTTTGCTGCACGCCCTGCTCTGGGATGTGGCTTCAGCAGCGGAGGCCCTAGACCTCCTGGTGTTCAAACCAGCCTTGACTGGACCCTCAGCCCAGGCTGGCTGGCAGCATTCGATGGGGGTGAGAACTGTATTTGGGAGTGAGTAACCCCCTAGCCCCAACAGGAGCCCCAAACTTGACCCAGCAACCCGAGCAGCCTTGCTGAAGAGCCAGGCCCCACAGGGTGACAGGCAGGTCGGGGGGCCATCTGGGTGCTCCCCTGGCTTTGGGTTCCCACTCCAGTGGGCCTGCTTAGAGCCCAATGGGTGGAGGTTGTGGACAGGTCAGGGCACCTTGAAGTGCTATAGAATTGGTGACCACAGAGGCCAAGACTCAGAAGATGTTTAGGACCAAGGAATTGTAGATACAGTGTATAACTCTTGAGCCCCAGACTCAGAATCAGAGACCACCCCCCAAAAGACCCAGAGTCCCCGAACCAGGGAGGCAGGGATGGTGGTACCTTTGGGTCCCAGACTGGGAGGCTCATGGAGTCTCCCACACAGGCTGGGATTATAATTGTCCCCGCTCTGGGGTTCCCTCTGGCCTTGAAAACTCCAGCGCCCAGTGAGAACCTCAGCTAGAGAGGCAGGGAGGAGGGTGAGTCTACCAGGGCCTGTGCCACCTGCTCTGTTCCTGATGGAATGCAGACCCTGGGCAGCCACATCTCCCGGGGTTTTCAGTGGATTCCAGAAATGGGGATTTTAAAAATAAAATCTCCCAAGTTTTCAATTTTGGCAACTAATTAAAAAAAATTTTTTTAAATGACTGTCCAGATGAGACAGGATTCCACAGCATCTCTTGACCAGAGCCTGGTGCCACGGAGGGTCAAAGACACTGTGTAGCAGTTATGAGACCTCAGTTTCCACCTCTGTAAAGTGGGAATAATAATAGTACCAACTTATAAGGTTGTGCCAAGGACTAAATGAATTAACTTGAGAAGTGCTTGGGCCCAGACTATAGAAGCCCAGGACCCTGTTTTCAGCTTGCCGTGGGCTGCGCGCCCCCCTCCCACCAGGCTACCTCTGAATGGGCCTCACTCTCTGTCACCCAGAGCCTCTGCTTCTGGTGGGCCCCTCATATGCCACTCTGCCTTGGGACAGCCCTGAGGATGTTGGAAGGTAGGGAAATATTCACCCCCTGGGGCCCTAGAAGAGGAGCAGGTGGAGGAGGCAGAGCCGGGAGGGTGGGCCTAGCTGGCGCCTAGTACATAGTAGGTGCTCCATAAATGTTTATTGAATGAATGAATGGAGGCCATGCAGGCAGAGGCAGCTGCGCGTGCACAGGCACTGGTGAAAGAGCGGGTCCAGTGGAGACTGGTGAGTAGTGCCCGGGGCTACAGCTGAGCGGGGCCTGGGGTTTACTGGAGCCAAGGCCAAGAGGCCAGCAGGGACCAGGTGGGGGAGGCAGGGCTCAGCTGGGGTGTCAGGGGCCAGGTGGGGGGAGGCAGGGGCCAGGTGGGGTGTCAGGGGTCAGTTCAGGGGCCTGGTGGGGGGTTCAGGGGTCAGGTGGAGAAGGCAGGGGCCAGGTGGGTGGACAGGGGCCAGGTCGGGAGACAGGGGTCAGGTGGGGGAGGCAGTCATCTGAATAGCCTGGAGGATTCTGGGAAAGCCAGAGATGACCCCTGGGGTGGGACTAGGAAATGAACTTTTAATACAGGTTGTCTTTGGCTGTGGGCAGGAGGATCATATGCTCTACCAAGTGCCTGGAGGTGGGTGGGGTGGGTGCTAGGCTGCTTGGGGCTGGGGAATGGGGTGCCAGGGAGTGGCCCGTGTGAGCTGGGCTGTCTGTGAAGAGTTCCCACAGAACCAGTGTTGGGTCCTCTTGTGTCAGGCTCCTGGGTGGTTTTCCAAGGCCAGGCCTTTTGGTAAAAACCCTTTCATCCTCCCGCCTACCTCCTTCCACTAAGGCCTAGACACAGCGAAGGTGCTAACGACAGATGTGACAACCCTGGGAGCAGGGGAGGCCCAGGGACCAGTTGAATTGATGGGGAATGACACGGCAGTTTACAGAGGGCTTTGGGGTGGGCCCAGGAAACCCGAGACATGTGTGTGCATAGCTCTTCTTCCCAGAGCAGATGAGGAAACTGAGGCCCAGAGGGGTAAGGCACTGACCTAAGGTCACACAGTGAGCCAGCCATCAGTGTGTCATAACTGCCTATAACTGGCCTGATCCCCTTTTCGGGCCAGGGTTACTGGACTTGGAGCTAAGTGCCTAGCACATCGAGGCCTTGCAAACCCAATTATGTCCCCCATAACTGTCAGCTGTTGCTGCTGCTGAGGTGGTAGTGGTCTTAGTAAATTCTTTTGGGTAAGTTGGAGCTCAGTGAAGGCAGGGCATGTCTGTCTGCTACCGTGCCCAGCACATAGTAGGTGTGCAGTAAATACATGTGGATGTGTAAGGAATGTGGGTGAGAGTGTAGCTGGTTGGATGGCGTGCCCCACCTGCCCCAGGGGTGAGCTGTGGGGCTGGTCCCCATTTCCACATAACACAGATGCGGGTGCAGCCATGCCCTGCTTGCCCAGTGCAGGTTGGCATAGAGCCGGGAGGGGTGCCGGGCATGGAGGGGCAGAAGCCAGTTCCCCTGAGATGTGGAGCAGCTGGCATGAAGGGCTGAGACTAACAAGACGTGATTGAATGGGGGTGGATGGAAACCCAGCACCTCGGGTGAAACCCAAACCGAGGGCAGTTTGAGGGCATCGGAGCTGCTTGGCAGGATGTGTGAAGGGGCTCAGCCGACATCTAGGACAAGGCGAGGACACAGCGCTAGTGTACACTCACACTGCTCTAACAAGCATGGTGCCACGTCAAGGGAGGCAGAGGGCTCCTGGTGCCCATCAGTGCTCAGTGCCATGTTGGCACTGAGGTGTGGCTCCAGGTGACACATTTTAGGAAGGACCTTGACAACAAGCATGACCCTGGGCAGCTGGACCCAAGGGTGGGCGACTTGACACCGTGGAATAGGAAATGCAGGGGAGGATGTGAGGCTGTGTAGCATGTAAGCAGACTTCAGGGGCATGAGGTGACAGATGAGTAAATATCAAAAGGGGCTTTGAGGGGGGCTACTGGCCATGTTCTCAGTGGCTCCACACAGCAGTGGGACCAATAAACAGAGGTATAGACTTGGCATTGTAGTACCGTGTTTCCTGGAAAATAAGCCCTAGCGTGATTTTCAGTGTGCTCGTAATATAAGCCCTACCCCAAAATATGCCCCAGTTAAGACCGTCAGCCAGACATGACTGTATTTGAATAAATGTAGATTTTTGTACATGAATAAATGAATAAAATGTATCTTTTGGAGCAAAAATTAATATAAGACCCAGTCTTATTTTCGGGGAAGCACGGTATAAGAAGAAATGTCTAACAATCAGAGTTGTTCAAGAAGGAAATAAGTAGCCTCAGATGGGTGCTGAGATCCCTGTCACTGGAGGTATGCAAGTTGGGGGGAAATGACCTCTTCGGGGATCCTGGAAAGTCTGGTAGTTCTAAGAGCTCAGACTACTCCAGGTTCCTGGCTGTGTGGTCTTGGGCAGATCACTGTACCTCTCTGAGCCTTTTTATTCACCCGTAAAATGGGGAGCATAAGGGTGGGGTCATGAGGCTAACAGGAAGGCTTAGCACATGGCTGGCACACTGCGAGAGCCCTGTCAGTAGCGGGGCCCCTCCCTCTGATATTTAACACCCTGTCCCTGGCTGTCATTCTACACAGCATGTCCTGAGCACCTGCTACATGCCTGACCCTGTTCCAGGCATGGAGTTTACAGCAGCGAGCAAGATACAGCCTGCTTTGATTTCATGATGGGGATGGGGAGGGTGCGATCATGAAGAGCTAAATGATGTCAGGTAGTGCTGAGTGCTCTGAAGGGACCAAATGCAGGGTTGAGCGACCAGTGGGTTATCTTAGATTTGGCATCAGGTAAGATGGGGCTCGGGGGGAGCAGCTGAACAGACACCTGAACGAGGTAGTGGGTTGTGCAAATATTAGGGGAAGAGCATTCCAGGCAGAGAGGACAGCCCGTGCAAAGGCCTTGAGGTGGGAGTGAGCCTGGGGGTTTGAGGAGCATAGCTGGCCTGGAATAAGTGCTTCCTGACTGATGGAAAAATTGAAGTCTCTGTCAGCTTGTGCACAAGCCACGCTTGCACACTTTCCTGACGGGGAGAGAGGTGCTGACACAAGGGGCAGAAGCCCGCCAGGCAGCCCATGCACGTGCAGTCTTGGCCACGGGCCCAGCTGTTGGGAGGAAGCTGGGGAAGGAGAGAGCCTCAGTTTTCTCATTTGTTAAATGAGGGTAACAGCACCTGTCATGCAGGGTGACATAAGATTCAAGGAATGTAGATGTCAGACACAAATGAGCCTTTGGGTAAAGGATAGCCATGGCTATCTCACAGGCGAGGGGACTGAAGCCCAGAGAGGTTCATTAATGTGCCCTATGTCACACAGCTCAGCATTCAATCCCAGGACCCTTTGCCTCCAATATCCATATTTATTTTCTCTCTGCCCTGCAGCTGGGGCTCATTGCACCTGGAATCCAAATGGTTCACCTACCGAACAGTAGGTCAGTGGCAAAGGCTTAGTTATCCCATTTTACAGATGAGGAACCAAGGCCCAGAGCATCCTGTCTGAGGAACCCTGATGAGGTGGAGGCTGCAACAAGACCCAGTGTCCAGCCCTAGGGGAAGGCTGGCTTTGTCCCAGAGGGTAGAGTGTTGCTAGCCCATCTCTGGGGACCCCCTGGCCTGGTGATGCGTTTCCAGCAGAAAGAAGTGAGGTGGCCACCTGCCCGGGAGTTCTGGCTGGGCCCCAGGAGTCCTCGGTCTTCTTAATCCTGGGTAATAGCATTGACATGTACAGTGACAATGGCACCTCCGGGAGCTTTAGCTAGCCTGTCCCAGGGAGAAGCCCGTGCCAGGGCTTAGCAGCTGCTGCAAATGAGATTTCCCCGGCTAAGCCTCATGTCTCTGTTCCTGAGAGGCTGGAACATGGACTGCCTCCCGCACCCGATCCCTGGGCCCCCCAATGGCTCTGTGGGAGTGCGGCTGTGTGAGCAGGAGCCTGAAACGGCCGCCTTTGCTGGGCCCTCTGCCCTGTACACAGAATATCTGTCTCCACCCTGCCCTGGGGTTTTGTGGGAGCCCTGGGAGATGGGTGGCACTCATCTTGCCACGCAGGTAGAGAAGTTGAGGTTTGGAAAGGGCCTGCAACTCGCCAGAGGTCTCTGAGCTGGCCAGCCCCTGTCTTCCCTGCTGACCCCTGCTGTCCCATCCCCTGCCCCACCCCCACGCCCTCCGTCAGGGGACACTTAGGCAGACCTCATCCTGTCTGTCCTCTCACCTGGCCCAGGGTGGGGGAGGCAGAGTTCCCCGAGCCCCTGAGCTCAGCCCTGTGTGCTGGCCATGCACATCAGCTCACTGCAGCCTTGACAGGTGGGAATTATTCATCCCACTGCATGGGCAAAGCAACAGGCTCCTGCCCCATGCCCCGGGTTGCTGAGGTCCTGGGAGCCTGTGTGGGGGCAGGAAGCTTTCAGAGGGGATTTGAGGTTGGCAGGTCAGGATCTATCACTTCCACCCTGGGTCCTGAGCCTGACCTGTCACCAGATGGACATGTCCCTTCCCCAGGCCTGGCCTCAGTTTCCCCTCTGAGAAGGGCTGGGACTAGGCTGAGCAAGGCCTCCCCCTCCTTCCAGCTCTGAAGCACTAGTATCCTGAGTCCACACAGGGGCCCTGAACCTCGTGGCACCTGGAGGAGAAGGGCACAGAAACCAGCTGACTTGGGGGGGGGGGGGGGGTGCAGCGGTTGCTGAGGCCCAGAGAGGGAGAGCCATTTGCCCAGTGTGACTCAGACACCCTGAACTGAGAGCCTACCTCAGTTCTGCCCTTCAGTCCCCGTCACGCCTCCCTCCCTGTTCAAGGGTGTCCCCATGAAAAGGGACGTTAGACTTGGGCCCACCTCAAGATCTCTCAACAGCACGCTGCCCCCCACTTTGCCACGTTAGAGGTGCTGATGGGGCACTTTGGGCCTGCCTCCTGCTCTGGACAGAGGTCACTCATTGCCACCACACCTGTGTGTTGGGGGGGGGGTAGGCATAGTGGGGGCGGGGCATTTGGGGAAGGGTCCCTGCAGGCCAGGTCAGCCAGGAACTCTGCGCTTTGCCAGACACTGCACTGCGCTGGCCGGTACTGCACCATGGGCCACACCCTGCCAGGCTTGGCACCATCTAGGCCTTGGGCAGAAAAGGCCGCTGCTTCTAACAGCTGCTTCCTGCCGCGTCCCCCCTTCCTCTGAGCTGGTCACAGGCTGCATTTCAGTGGCCGGCCAGGCCCAGTGCTCATCTGTCTCCCTGGTCCCTGGGTGGGTGGGTGGGTGGGCAGCAGGTGCTGTGTCCCCTCCTTTGCCCCCATCCCCCATCTATCATCTCACTGTGCGGCTCTGCCGATCATTGGCTCCTCTATCTCAGATGCTATTCCTCCGTCTCTCCCTGCTCGGCTGTCTCCATATTTTTGCTGTTCCATCTTTCTCAGCCCTTGCTTCCTGTCTGCAGCTCCCTCACTTCCTTCCTTGCTCTCCCCGCCACCCCCAGGTATGTGTGGGGTGGGGCCCTGCTCCTCCCGCTAGTGTGTGCTGGGGGTCACCCTCATGGGAGCAGAGGAAGGGCATGACCCTCGAGACCCCCAGGACCAAGAGAACCACGGCTGGCACCCCCTCCCCCACGCCTTGAGTGGGTGCGCAGCCGGCTGGGGGCCAAGTGCTGCTGCCAGTGCCTTCAGAGCCTTGCGGTCCCCCCTCCCTGGCTGCGGCAGGCCTAGCCGGGTGGTGGGCAGGCAGCCCAGGGACAGCGACATGGTGGCTGACGCACATGGGACAGGGAGATGGGGAGCTTGCTTTCCTCTGTGCCTGAGTCAGGGTGGAGCCAGGGCGGGGGAGGGTAAGGGGGGGTAAGCTGGGCCCTGGCCCAAGCCATCCTGGAGACCAGGAGGATCGGAAGACAGGGCCATGGGCAGGGTCACCTTGAGGGCTCAGGTGGGCAGAGCTCAGAGTGGCTAGGGTGGGGGTATGGTGGGCCTCTGTCTACCCTGGACTGTTTGGGAAGGAAAGAGATGGGACAGGACGAGCCCCACCCCCACGCCTGGGCCCCTTCTCCTACTCCCCTCCCCTCCCTCCTTCTCAGCCTCTTTATACCCCCCCAGCATGGCCTGGGCTGTCTTAAGACTCCAGCCAGCTCAGCTTTGCTGGACAGCCCCTGGGTCTGGCTGAGGGGTGTGCTGGTTTGAGTAATTCAGATCTGAGGATAGGGGTTGGGGGTAGGGGGGCTCTGTGGGGCTAAAGTTGCACATGTGCACACACATGTATACAGAATACATGTGCTTAACATGTCAACATGTTGGCAGCTGTTGCCCATGTTCCCCTGAGATGCCCCACATGCACCCCTTCCCACCCTTCCACACACAAGCACATACACTCTTGAGTACTGTGGCTGACCACAAGTACACATATCCTGTGCACGCGGGCACGAGTTTGCGCGTGCGCCTGACCGCACTTCCTTCTCCTTGTACACGTCAGCACGCCCCTGCACTGGCGCTCTGAGCCAGCGCACACCTGCGCGTGCACCTGCATACAAATGCGGTCCCCAGACGTTCCTAGCCAGAGGTGGTGCAGATGGAGGGTTCTCTGACAGGGCGAGCTTGGCAACTCAGCCTTTTCCAGTACATCCTTGCCTGTGTGTGCATGGGGGTCAGGGAACTGGGGCCTCAAAAGGGGTGGGACTGGCCTGGGGTCCCCAAGGAGCCAGTGGCCATGCTGGGCAGGGGCCCAGGTCGCTGACTCCTCCAGCCCTGAGACTTTCTATAGCACAACCAAGGACAGAAATGCCGTCTGCTGCCTGGGCACTGCTTTATGCCGACTGCCTCGAGGTGCCCTCCCCCCACCCCACGCCTGTCCCACAGGGGACCTGGAGGTGTGAGGCCACCTCTCCTGGAGGTCCTGATCGTCACAGCCTCTGACTCCTTTAGTCAGCCTTTAATCTGAGGGGTCATCGGGATGCTCTGGTCACCGGCCACCTCCCCAACAACAACTGCCAGCCTGGACGTCTTCAGGCACTTTTCCCCTCCCTGCTTCCCTTTCCTCTGTTCCCGCAGCCCTCTGGGGCTCAGGGCTGTAAATTGGTTTTGCTTTAAAGGCAAAGGTTTAACGTTTTTTTTTTCTCAGAGCGCTCGCCTTCCTGGTGTTTCCCAGGAGGAGGAGCAGGAAGCAGAGGTGGCTCTTGTGAACAGTCTTAGGCTTTCTTTATCCAAACATGAATTTCTCTTGCCTAATTTTCACATCCCTGGCCACTGCCCGGGGCAGGAGGAGGGAGCAGTAGAGAGAGCATGGGGTGGGAGCTGGAGCCCCATCTGGCCGAGGGGCCCTGACTGGCTTACCAGGTCATCGGAACAAGTGTCCCCTGGTCTGGAGCTCAGTTTCTCCACTTGGAAAACAAGGGTCTGCAGGCTCTCAGCCCTGCGCTGGCTCCTCTGTCCCTCTCCATCTTGGGCACGGGCAGTCTGGCTCACCCTACTTCCCCCATCAGATGGCCAGGCAGGGACCCTGGTCCCCACTTTATCTATGTGGAGACAGACTCAGAGGTGTTGTGCTTGATTCACCTACTGGGTCCCAGTGGATGGGGCTCTAGGCCCCTCGATTTTTGCTGCCTTGGGAGCCTTGATCCTGGCCCAGGCTGTGCTGTGTGACTCGTGGCAAGTCCCTGCCCCTCTCTGGGCCTCTGACTTTCCAGCCACAGAGGGGATGTGGGGCTTTGATCACCGTATACCAGAGGCCTCTGGCTTTATCACCTGCCTGAGCCTTTTCCCCCCAACCACAGGACCCTGGTCCTCTGTTGGAAAGCACTCTGAGGAGGTGGGATTGGGGGTGTGTCCGGCTCCCCTCTTTCCCTTGGCTCTGCTCCTGCCTATAGGATGAGCTCATTTCAGTCCTCCCCTTCCGGGAGACCCCAGCCTCTGCATTCCTCCGATTGGGGGGCCCATAGCCACGCTGCTCTGCTACCCCTCCCCCATGGAAGCCGAGACAAGGGAATTATTTTTGGAACAAGAGCGGTTACACAACAAATGAATTATTTATTTCTGGGCATGGAGGAGAGGAGGCATTTTGCTGGGCTTCTTAATTCTTTATCTGGATTGGAGGTGCCTGCCCGGTACGTGGCCATGTGTGCATGGCCCGATTGTCTTACACAAGACTGTGTGTGTGTGTGCGTGTGTGTGTGTGTGTGTACGTGCCTGTCTGTGTGTGCATGCTGTGCAGTCTGGATCACGCAGGGCATGTGGGTCTTTGTGCAGGACATGGGCGAGCACAGACACGAGTGTGCTGGGGCATATGTGTGAGTGCGTGTGAGTGTGTATGTGCACACGACCCGTGAACTGGCCAGTGCCCCTTCTGTGCCCACTTAGACTCTGTGTCCTTAGACTCTGCCCGGCCTCCCGCTGTTGCCACCCACCACCCTCCCTTCTTTTATGTAAGAGGGACCCCAGAGTGCCGCGTGCACAGAGGACCCCTCCTCCCCGCCATGGGACGGGGTGGAGAAGGGGCTGGGGACCTCTGCTGGACTTCGAGGGGCTGCTCTGAGCCTTCTCATTGATATGTCACCCCCTCTCGGTGCTGCCTTTCAGGAACCAAGTGACAGATGGGTCTCTTCCTTCCTGCCCCCGTCTGACTCGCTCCCCCCTCAGAGCTCCACTCTCCAGCCTTCCGTGGGGATCGTCTGAAGTTCTGAGCCCAGAACCCAAGGAGGAAGGAGAGGAGGAGGAGGAGGAGGGAGAGGAAGTCAAGCCCTGAGAGCCTGTGCACCTTCCCAGCAGAAGAGCAACGCGGGAAGCAGGCTGTGGGGCCCAAAGTCCCCCTGGCTCCAGCCTGGCCCCAGTGCCCAGCGCCTGCTGGTAGCTCCCTGGAAGGCCCCCTGGCTGTGCCTGCCTCACCTGGGGCCTCTGTGCTGGGGGTCGCCCCCAAGATGGTGGCGGCCCCAGGGAGGACTGTGCTGCCAGCCCCAGCCTCCCACCGCTAGGCCCCCTGTGCTCCTCACCCCGAGCCCAGCCTGCGAGGGGGCTGAGGCTAGCGCCATGCTGCGCCTGGGGCTGTGCGCGGCCGCACTGCTCTGTGTGTGCCGGCCCGGTGCTGTACGCGCCGACTGCTGGCTCATTGAGGGCGACAAGGGGTACGTGTGGCTGGCCATCTGCAGCCAGAACCAGCCGCCCTACGAGACCATCCCGCAGCACATCAACAGCACTGTGCACGACCTGCGACTCAACGAGAACAAGCTGAGGGCCGTGCTCTACTCCTCCCTCAACCGCTTCGGGAACCTCACCGACCTCAACCTCACCAAGAATGAGATCTCTTACATTGAGGATGGCGCCTTCCTGGGCCAGGCAAGCCTGCAGGTGCTGCAGCTGGGCTACAACAAGCTCAGCAACCTGACCGAGGGCATGCTCCGTGGCATGGGCCGCCTGCAGTTCCTCTTCCTGCAGCACAACCTCATTGAGCTGGTGACGCCTGCCGCCTTCTCTGAGTGCCCTAGCCTCATCAGCATCGACCTGTCCTCCAACCGCCTCAGCCGCCTGGACGGCGCCACCTTTGCAGGCCTGGCCAGCCTCATGGTGTGCGAGCTGGCCGGCAACCCCTTCAACTGTGAGTGCGACCTCTTCGGCTTCCTCGCCTGGCTCGTGGTCTTCAACAATGTCACCAAGAACTATGACCGCCTGCAGTGCGAGTCCCCGCGCGAGTTTGCCGGCTACCCGCTGCTGGTGCCCCGGCCCTACCACAGCCTCAATGCCATCACCGTCCTCCAGGCCAAGTGCCGCAACGGCTCGCTGCCCGCCCGGCCTGCCAGCCACCCCACCACGCCCTACGCCACCTATGCCCAGCGGGAGCCTGATGAGAACTCTGGCTTCAGCCCCGACGACATCCTTTCGGCAGAGCCCCCGGCCTCGTCCACCACAGATGCGTCCGCAGGGCCTGCCATCAAGCTGCACCATGTCACCTTCACCTCGGCCACCCTGGTGGTCATCATCCCACACCCCTACAGCAAGATGTACGTCCTGGTCCAGTACAACAACAGCTACTTCTCTGACGTCATGACGCTCAAGAACAAGAAAGAGATTGTCACTCTGGACAAGCTGCGGGCGCACACCGAGTACACCTTCTGCGTCACCTCCCTGCGCAACAGCCGCCGTTTCAACCATACTTGCCTAGCCTTCACCACGCGGGACCCAGTCCCGGGCGACCTGGCGCCCAGCACCTCTACCACCACCCACTACATCATGACCATCCTGGGCTGCCTGTTCGGCATGGTCATCGTGCTGGGAGCCGTGTACTACTGCCTGCGCAAGCGACGCGCGCAAGAGGAGAAGCAGAAGTCCGTCAAGGTCAAGAAGACCATCCTGGAGATGCGTTACGGAGCTGACGTGGAGGCGGGGTCCGTCGTCCATGCTGCCCAGAAGCTGGGCGAGCCCCCCGTGCTGCCCGTGTCCCGCATGTCCTCCATCCCGTCCATGATCGGGGACAAGCTGCCTGCCTCCAAGGGGCTGGAGGCTGGGCTGGACACGCCCAAAGTGGCCACCAAGGGCAATTATATAGAGGTGCGCACGGGCACGGGTGGGGAGGGCATGGCCCGGCCTGAGGATGACCTCCCGGACCTGGAGAATGGCCAGGGCTCAGCCGCCGAGATCTCGACTATTGCCAAGGAGGTGGACAAGGTCAACCAGATCATTAACAATTGCATCGATGCCCTCAAGTTGGACTCGGCCTCTTTCCTGGGGGGTGGCAGTGCTGGCGGGGACCCGGAGCTGGCCTTCGAGTGCCAGTCCCTCCCTGCAGTCACTACTGCCTCCTCAGCCACCGCCCCTGGGGCACTGGAGCGACCCAATTTCCTGTCACCCCCCTACAAGGAGAGCTCCCACCACCCGCTACAGCGCCAGCTGAGCGCTGACGCCGCCATGGCCCGCAAGACCTGCAGTGTCTCGTCCAGCGGCTCCATCAAGAGCGCCAAGGTCTTCAGCCTGGACGTGCCTGACCACCCGGCGTCTGCGGGGCTGACCAAGGGCGACTCCAAGTACATCGAGAAGGGCAGCCCTCTCAACAGCCCGCTGGACCGGCTCCCGCTGGTGCCTGCGGGCAGCGGTGGGGGTGGCGGGGGCGGTGTCCACCACCTGGAGGTGAAGCCCGCGTACCACTGCAGCGAGCACCGGCACAGCTTCCCGGCCCTGTACTACGAGGAGGGCGCTGACAGCCTGAGCCAGCGTGTGTCCTTCCTGAAGCCGCTGACCCGCTCCAAGCGGGACTCCACCTACTCGCAGCTCTCCCCCAGACACTACTACTCAGGGTACTCCTCCAGCCCTGAGTACTCCTCGGAGAGCACGCACAAGATCTGGGAGCGCTTCCGGCCCTACAAGAAGCACCACCGGGAGGAGGTGTACATGGCCGCCGGCCACGCCCTGCGCAAGAAGGTCCAGTTCGCCAAGGACGAGGACCTGCATGACATCCTCGATTACTGGAAGGGGGTCTCGGCCCAGCAGAAGCTGTGACCCTCTCCTCCCCGGTGAGGTCGGAGGGGGAGGGCAGGGGGCATGTGGGGAAGGCCCTGGGCCGGGCGAGGGCGCGCGGCGGGGGCCAAGGCTGAGGAGTGGACGCACACGCACACCCGCACGCACGCACCCATGCACACACCTGACCACCACCTGACTGTGAACCACCACCACCCGACAATAACGGACAGGAAAACAAAGACACGTTCTCCTTAAAGTTTACACACTGATACCGAAACCAGGCGTCTTTACTGTGCTGCCCAGGGACTCTGCTGGGGTGTGCAGGGCTGGGTGGGGCAGGAGGCAGGCAGGTAGCCAAAGGAGGGTGGGGCCCGGGGCCCTGGGACTAGGACAGGCTTGGGAGCAAAGGAGCTTGGAGCCGAGATGGACTGCAGCCACTCTCGAGCAGGGAGAGGTTCCCTGTTGAGGGACAGGTCACTTGGAGGTTTAGCACCAGGTGGACACTGGGCTTTGTTTCCTTCCTTTATGGATGCGGAAACTGGGGCCCAGGGAAAGGACATGATAACCCCAGGGTCTCACGGCAAGTTAGAGTTAGTGTCCCAGCTTCCTAGCCCAGTGCTGTCCCCCACCCCCAGTGTATCCCCTGGGGCCCCCATCCTCTGTCCACCCACCACCCCCTTCCAGCTGTGGTCTCCTTAGGCTGAGGTACTTGAGAATCAGGCGGGTACTTTTCCTTTCTCAAAAGCCCCACGGCCGTGCCTCCAGAGTGTGGAGCTGTGATTCATCATGCTGGGGAGCCCTTTGTCCCCCATGCCAGCACCCAGGAGAGGTGGCAGGTCTTGCTGACAGGAAAGGAGCGGAGGCTTGGGGACATTCCACTAGCTCCTTCAAGTGTCTTCCAAGTAGCCTGGGAGCTGCCTATGGGGTCTGAGGAGCAAGTGTGGGCCACCTTTCAGATGCAGGCCCCGCAGCTCTATGGGTCTCCAGGACCCCGACTCAGCCAAGAAGGGCAGCAGTGAGCTGTGATGCCAGGGAGCAGTGGGGAGGTGGGATGTAATGGGGGCCTTCCTGCCCGTGTCCCCACATCCTGTCCTCCCACCTGCCTAACCCCCATCGAGGGATCTCAGGGCAGCATCTCAGCCTGCCCGGAGGAGGGAGGGCTGTGCCGGGCTTTCCCACCCAGCCCCTCTTTGCTGCCCATCCCTGACCCACCCCAGGCTCTAGGGGCTCCCATATTTCCATGGAAATATGGAGATGTCCACTCCCCCCTTGCTGACCCCCACCCAACATCGAAAAAGCACAAACAGTGAGCACCCCCACGCCCCCACTGGTGGGGAGCAGGCTGGGTTCGTGTGGCCCCTCCCTGTCCCTGGCCAGCCTCTGTCACCATAGCAACCCAGAGCCTGGCAGTTGGGACCGTTGGGCTCCTGAGGGTTCTCCCAGTGTGGGTGACAGAGGGCGGTGAAGGAGGTCAGGGCCAGATGGCAGCTGCCATGCTCATGAGCTAGGGGCTTCCTGGGGAGATCTCTGGGGGCAGGTTTGGGGTCCTAAGACTGTGGGGTCTTAAACACTGTGTGGGTGCTGCGGCTGCAGTGTCATTCCTTCACCTTTGGTTGGGAGGTGGGCCAGTGGGGGGTGGGACAACGCTAGCTTTGCCCACTTGCCAGTGTGCCCCTGGGCTCTGCACACACCTCAGGATGGGCAGCAGCCCACTCAGCTCTCCCCACACCTCTGCCAGAGACCCCCAACCTCTGGCCTGTCACCTAGTTGGGTTTCTTGAGATTTGCGGAGTGTGACTGTGGGGTAAGGGTGGGCGCTGGGGGGTTGGGACCAAGACCTGTACTGTGTGTGTGGCTCTGGCCAGGAAAGCCGTTGCCACCCCCTGGGTGGGAATCTCCTGCCAGAGGGAGGACCTGGGGGAAGACAGTGGAGGGCCAGGGGGCCTCAGGGCTCAACTGAGCACCTCTCTCACCACCCACTTGGGGGACGGACCAAGCCCGGGAGCTCATTTTGGGGGTGACATTTGCAAAGAAAGGACTGTTCTCCTGGGGAGTGGAGGGGAGGGGGCCAGCATGGATATGCAGAGCAGACCTCCCCCAACAACCCCCAACCCTGCCCCCAACTCCTCCTCACACTGGATTGGCAAAACTGAGGAAAGCAAGCAGGCGGAGAAGCCAGCGGTGTGAGAAAGCAGACTCTCCCTGTTATATTTGCATGACGATTTTCCTGTATTTTTCTGAGCAAACATCTGTCGTGTATGTGCTGGTTTGTCCAGACTCCCCTGCCCCCCCTCCTCAAGCCGCCCCCCCCTTTTCCTACATTTCCTCTGTTGTGATCTGACAAGCAGCTCTTGACACCCAGGGAGGGGCCAGCTCTGAAAAAGACCCAAAACAGGTGCCACCCAAACACAGCCCCTGCCCCACACCCGCATCCTGTCTTTCTGGACTTTGGGCCCACAAGTGCCACCTCCCCTCTTCCCTCTGTCATGGCCCCAATTCCCTCCCATCCATCCTCCTCCTCGCCTCTCCCTTTCCTCCCTGCTAGGGAAGGGAAGCCCTGGGAAAGGGAACATGGAGAGACCGCGCCCCTGGTCTCCTCGCTCCTGTTTTACAGATGAAGAAATCGGGGCCCTCAAAGCGGGTGGGGCTTGGTGATTTGGCCACTAGGTGGGGTGGAGGGTCAGTGGCACTGCAGAGTACAGAAGACCAGGAGCTGGGGGCTTTATGGACAGCTTTATGGGGAGGCTTGGGGTTCTGAGGAAGAACTCATGAGAGAAATGGGGGCCCAAGGCCGGCCTGGACTGTTACAAGATACAGCAGCCCTCCGCAGGAAGGGTTCCGGCAGCAGGAGCGGGAACCCCACCGTGCCATTCCCTCACCGTTTCTGTTTGAAGATGACCTGGTAAAAACCTCAGACTGTCTCATTTCAGGGGTCTTTCAGGATAGGTCCCCACCTTAACAGCGAGGGTCTTACAGCTCCAGAAGGTGAACCAACCTTCACGGCCCAGGTTGCACCAATCTTGGGGGCAGAATAGTTTCTAAAACTCAGGCCTCTGGAGCTCCCAGCCAGGCCAGGCCCCTCGCTTTGGGGAAGGGTGCACTGTAGCCCACTCTGGAGGCTTTCCTGCACCTGTGTTCTGGGCCCTGCTCTTCCGCCAGAGAAGAGCAAAATATTCATGAAAGACAGGTGAATACTTACGTCAAGGAGTCTGGCCGGCCTGGGCCCCATGTTTATAATGGTGATGGTCATAGTGGGCCATGGCCTGGGCCGGCCGGGAGGGCAGGCGGCCAGGAGCGAAGAGAAGGGGAGCCTGGTGGAGTTGGGGGACAAGCCGTCTGGGGGACATGTGTGCTGCACCCTGGACCTCCTGTCGGAGGCCTCCCTGCTTTGGGTCATGCTGGGCTTGCTGTCCCTGCCAGAGAAGCTCCAGAGGAAGTTCCTGGGTGCCTGTTCCTGGGAAGTGGCACCGATGGGTCCACTCTGTCCTAGAGGGAGCGGCAGGTGTCACTAACCCTCAGTTGGAGCTAATAGCCTTCCAGAAGCAAAAAGTAGAGGTCTGCAGGGAGGAAAGCTTAGTGTGGTGCAGACATCTCCTCAGGGGTCCCAGGCTTGACTCTCCCCTTTCTCCCCTCTGCAGGAGGGGCCTCTCTCTGCCCACAGAAGGCCCCTCGCCTCTGCACCCCTCCTGGGGGACAGTGCAGGAGGACTGTGGAGGCTGCCTGTGTTCCGGCTGAAGCAGGGGTGCCTATGGGAGTGGAAAAAGCCAGTTGGAAAGAGTAGGCCCGAACGGCCCTGGAGAGGCAGACGCGAGTCTGGGCCTGGCCGAGGGTCTCCAGTGTTCCCAACTGGAAGTCACTCATCTGTCCCCCCTCCTGGAAATTTAAGAGAGGGAAACAGAAGCGGAGGAAAGGAAAGGAAGGAAATGTTCTAGGGTCTTGAAATCAGTTAAGGACAGACTGAGGCCAGGAAGGGAACCCGGCATGGGGCAAGAGTGACACGTCCCAGCTTATAAGGGGCTTACATGCAGTGAAGGGACAAAATGTTCCCCAGTGACGGACACTGTGCAGAGAATTAAAATAGGGTGACGGACGGGGGAGGGGCTCGGGGCACTCCTCAGCGGGGAAGTGACCTGAATGACATGAGCCAGAGGACTAGCCCACTGGCCATGTGAAAATGAGATTGGAGGGAGAGTGGGGCTAGGAGTGAGTGGCTGGAAGTACCTCCTTAGGTAACCCCCATCACTCTGCTCCACCCTCCGAGGGAACCTACCAGTTAGCAGATCACACCCCATTGCCGGCAAAATGGGGCCCTCTTTCCGGGATGGTGGATGGGTGGGCAAGGCATGGGGAAGCCCTGGGGGGTGTCTGACCCCCATGGGGGCCTTTGAGGCGGGGCGGAAGATTGCCCACGAGGCCAGTGTGAAGGTTGGGGCTCGGCTGGTTCCAGTGCTGTCCTCTCTGCCGAGACTTCTGCTTCACAGCCACCTCAGTCCCAGAAGCTGCCATGTTCCTCAGCTATCTTGACCCTGTATTCTCCCACCTTTAAGACAAAATCAGTATTTACACTCCTTGCCTCTCCTGCCTGCCTCAAAGCCCCCCCATTAAAGGTCCCTCACTGCAGCTGAGCAGAAGGGAGAGGAAGCGGGGTGTGGAATGTGGGGTGGGAGGGTCTGGGCTTCTTCCTTTCCCTGTCCATCACCAAACAAGCACAGGGCTGGCCAGGGGTGAGGGGTCCATTTTCCTACCCTCACTCCTTCCTCCTCACTCAAGGGGCTGCTGGCCTCTCGGCCATGTGGCTTGGCACCTGGTTTGGGTCCTGCAGAGTTGGGCCTCCGGTCCTGGGCTCCGAACCTGTGAAACCTAGCTGTGTGTGGACCCTTCCTCCCTTGGGGGAGGGGGGGGCCTGAACCGTCTCCTTTTCTTCTTTTAGGGGGGTCATTTCATTTATTTTCTCTTCCCTATATCTGCCTCTCCGCCCCACCCCCCCCCCACCCCCAATTTCCTGTTTTAAACTGAATGGCACGAAATTGTTTTCCTCAACTCGAAGATTCCTGTATGGAGATAAT